CAAGAACAAGGGAGTACTTGACTTTTGACCATGGAATTCATGGACCAAGGAATGGTCCAGAGCCTTTCCCCTAACCTTGACTTGCGCACAAACGCAGAGACAAATGCCAGGTCTCGGTCAAGCACAACGCGCAGCTGGGGCAGCGTTTCGAAATTTGGAAATTTATATAATCGCTTTCTGATGACCGGTTGCGGTACTCCCTCAGTTGATCGCCGACAATGTTCACAACGGTGGTTTTGTAATTCTCTCAACTGCGTTGGATCTCTGGGACTGGATTGATGATTTGAACAACGCGCTGGCTGTGTGTCAGAACAGGAAATGCACACAAAGGAAACACAAACCCTAAAAACAAACGCGCAAATCCAGTGGACATCCACATCAAATTTCACTCAATACGTTGTTACTGTTTGTGTCTAATGATACGACAGTGTACCAGTCGTAGTGGTCACGCAAACAGGGATGGAGGAAGAACTCCCTTCCATCATCACAGTGCAACATGGCCACTCCTGTTTCCCACCATCCAATATGTTCTCCAATCCCAATATAACAAAAGGCAAAACTCAAAAAGTAAAAATTGCACCAAACACTTGCAAAGATCACAGTCCAGTCAATCACACCACAAAGACCAATTCACCCACCCAAACACATGGCACATCACCCCGAACCCCACCAGAAATGTTGATGGCGGACTTTAAATCTTCCGACCACCAGCACTCACATCCATGTTTTGTCACTCTTCACTTCATTAGCCAAGCCCCGAGTCGCGAATCAAGCTGAGCTAATGAACGGAAACAGAAGAGCCAAAAAATACTGCACGAAACTCGAAAACAGAAAATCATCAAGGCACCCTGCAGCGCCCTGGCTCAACAGCAGCGGATCCTTCTCTTTAAGGACAGAGACTTGGTCCACCTCACAACTTACCTTCAAGGTTGTTTGAGCCCAAACAGCTTGAGCCAAAGGGCACGGACAAACAATCAAGTGTTTTGTGGAATTGATGCCCGGCCCACCTGTGCGCTTTTTCACAAGCTGCGCGCCAGCATTCACACAGATTCATACAACTCCATTTGCAACGGCTTTGCCAACACCATCCAGCTGCCCTCCTGCATCTGTTCGCTGTTCGCTGCGCAAGCACGTGGAATTGTCAATTAAACAATCTGGAAGGATGTCGGTGAACGTGCGAGTGTGGCGCGGTGCAACCACCGAAGTTTGCTGCGCTCCCTCGACCCAACGACCAGGACCCAGAGAAGTGCTGCGTTGGGAGACCATGCAGGTTGCTTTCCATTGCGGACGGCGCCGCGCATCGCCACGAGGGTGCGAACGAGTGGCTCAGTCGGTCTCCACCACGTGGTCGACTGTCGCGGCGCGTTGCAAGGTCGAAGCCAAAGGTCACCGGTTGTTTCCCGTCGCTGCGCGCATTGTGGTCTGCGCCACGCGTCACAAAGAGTTAGTGAAGCAAAAGAAGTGGAAAAGAGCAGGTAAAATGCTTCTGACAGGTGAAACAAATGAGAGAAAAGTGAAACTGCCTCACTCCGAAGCTTCAACCTGTCCGTCTGTAAACTCCATGAGGAAGCAGCGGCGGTCTTTCAAACAAACATCAGGACCATTACTTGAGTCAGGTGCAGTCAGTTGCTGTCCAGAGAGATGCATCGTGTCTCTATTGGTGTAGCTGAGTGGCTGTCCCGTTTGCGTCAGTGGTAGAGACCAGATCAGTTGAGATTCGGTTAAATCTCGGAATTCGAAGAGTGAGGCCAACATGCCTGTGGATCATCCCCAAATTCCTGTTGGCCATGACTCAAGAATGACATCATTGCGATCAGGCTTCCATCTAGCGGTGAATTCCATCCTTTTCTCCGAATCTCGAAAGTTCTCAGCACCTTGGCAGTTGCCTGAGGAATGCTTCAAGGTGTGGCCACCAATTCGAGCATCTATCAGTCAAGACGACTGAGAAATGGCAATGTCTTGGGTCTCCTTGCGCCAATTAGCCACCCTCTTGCAATAGGCAGGGAGGCGCAACAGTGAAACCCGAAATTGCCTTGCACAGGCAACGTTCTTCGGTCGCGCAGGCCCACCAGTTTGCAGCCGGCGGCGTGCTTTGATCTTTTTCGTGTTCTCAAGACCAGGTCTGCTGGGGGAGCCAAGGCGAGGCATGTGTCGGGTTTGCAAATCCCTGTAGTGATGCGCATCGAAGCAAAGGCAAAGGCAAAGGCCAATACACGACTCCACCAGAGGGACGCTTGACTTGGTGGCTGTCACTCCAACAAGGATCAGCAGGCAGCAAAGGCTACTGCGGTGGTCGCTCTGCCAGGGTGGCGATGGCGCGCGCACCCAGCCGGCCACAATCCAGAGCTTCATGCCCACCGTCAAGCAAGGTGCCGGCTGGTCAGATTGCCATGAATTACCTGAAGCCGGAAATTACTCAAAATAAACCAGCAGAACGGATTCATTGTTTGTGCACCAACCACTTTTCTTTCATCCCTTCTCCGACGTTTGCCGTTTGCCACTCCCTTTCACCACGAGAAGCTACGGCCTGTCCTGCCCAAGCAAATGAGGAAAGGCCTCCACATAGAGCTGGAAGCAAGATGCAAACAAGAACATAGTTGACAGACCACGGAATCGTTTCGAAGTCCTCCTCTTGGAAGCTGAAAGAGTCCGGGTCGGGTTGTGGCTGCAAATCAGGCTTTTCTTGCTCTTCCCTTTTCTGGCCGCCATGGCTACACAACATGGCTACGCAACCACCGCCGTGTGATTTGCAGTTTCCACGACAAGAACATGAACATACCTGTAAGGAGCTGCCTCACAAATCCTTGGAACCCTTTATTTCAGCACTGGCGCCACTATGTCACTATTGCTCTATTTTCAATAAGGAGTGCACACCTGATAAAAACATCACTCCTGGAATGCAGTGCAAACTTGCCCTTTCTCACGAGCCCCGCAAACGGACGCAGTGTGTGAGCATGCACCAACTCCGATGGACGCAGTGTGGGGCAGAGTGTGTGGTTGCTCTTTCTTTCCAATTGTGCAATAACAAAGGTCAACTTCTCTTTTCTGGGACACTCTTGCTTGACACTCTTGCGTATGACGCTCCTCTGAGTAACTCTTGTAGGACACTCTTGCTTGACACTCTTGTGCCTCACTCTCGTAGGTCGCGCGGTGTCTTGCCATAACATTCTCCACTACTCCATGATCACGGCGAGCACTGCTCCAGGACCCGATTTGCATCAAGCCCCTCTCCGTCTTCCATGGACAGTTCTTGCAACACCAGCTGCTCTGGGTCCGGCTCCACTGCCTTCCGAGCTATCAATCATCTATTGGAATCTGCCGCAATTCCTCCGCAACCAACGGCAGGTCGATTTGCTTGCGTCTGCTGGGACCATAAAACTCTGCTCTGAAGAGGTGGACTTACCCAACTTGCGAGACTCTGAGCAGACTTTGTAAGACCAATGGTGTGTGCTTCACACGTGAGTGCTTTCAACATGAATTGTGCAGGGCGGTTCAACCATGTTCACTTCCTTTTGCAATACACGTTCAACAATGTTCAACAAAAGGAATCCCTTTCATGTCCTTTTGATTCCTTTGATGAGCAATTTCTCAAACTCCCCGGAATTTCTTTTGGAGAGGCTCATTCTACAGAGGGCACCCCACTTGTTTGCTGGGCGGGGCTCAAGAGCCCACATTACCCAGTCAGGTGGTGATTATTGATAAAGAACGCATACCATACAGGACTTTTGACAAGGAAAGCCAAACAACATGTCAAAAGGTTTGATGATTCCTCCCGTGCATGCGAGTGCACTAGTTGTACGACTGTCTATGTGTAAGAGTGTAACTATTGAAAAGCTATTGATCAGCCCGATTTAATGTTTCATGCACAAACAGAGTAAGGTCCAACTCGGTCTAACTAATGCTTGGGAGGGACACTCTGTCGACTATCTTGGAGCAATCGCCGAAAGTTGTGAAGCCTGATCCAACATCTTTTTGAGGCCGGGCCGAGCAAGGGGCGCTTTAGGAACCCAGTCAAGTACGGCCCTTTGCACGCAGAAACAACCAATAAACACAGCTGCAGGCGCTGTGACCGACAAATGCTGTGACCAACACGAGTCTTGGCGAGAATTGCCTGGCATTCCTGGCTTTGACTTTGATCTTCCAGTCAAAGCCTAGGACGGCAAAATGCACCAAAATCGGCACTCGGGAAACAAAGAAGTCACAAGCAGGTCGCACTGCCTCTCCAGACTTTGCAAGTCAGCACGAGACAGGATGAATCAAGGAAAAGAGTGAGACACAAAGGCTCCAAGGACTACGTTCACCTTGTGGCCGTACAAATCCAAAGAAAAGAGTACAGCGCAAAACATCATGATATAAGTAGAAGGATAGGATATGTTATGACACTATGTTTCTTCTTGTGGTGACAAGGGAAAACCAACTGAGAACAAGAACGTATATGTGAATTCGTTGAACAAATGTCCTTGGAGCGTGTCTGCCTTGCCGCACCTTTGGCATAGCTGAGGCAGTCGTTAAATTTATTTGTTGTTGATTGACTCTCCAGCCCTCATCATCTGCCCAACAACGGGGCTAGCGGCTAGCGGCTAGAGTCTCATTGCTGAGGGAAGGAATTACAAGTGTTGCAAAGCCAGGGCTGCCAAAATGCATCCCTGTGCCAAGTGTGCAACGGTCCATTTCTGCAACAAGTGTTTGACCTGGCAAACTCATAAGATATATATACTGACGGCCTTGTATCTGCTGAGTGGGGGACCTACTTGGCAATCTTCTTGTTTAATTGAACAAGCAGTCACCCTAAGAGTATGTAGGCATATAATACTTACAGAACAACATTCAGCGCTTACAAAAGATTGGCTAGTTAGCAGGGAAGCGCTGTGAGCTTCGTGTCAATCAACAACGACCACTGCGGATTCTTTGTTGTGCCCAATTCGCACATCCACTAAGTGGATGAGGACTTCATCCACAGCAATTCATCTAAGCTGTTTCATCTTCAAGCTCGGTATTGACCACACTTCTGTGACTCTTCCACGTGCTCACTCGCCTCAAGCCCTTCCTGCGAGAGCGCTGGGCTTCAGCGGTTTCGATGTCGGTCCCAAAGCCAACGCGATAGCACATGCCTGCATGAGCAATCTGGTGACCGCAGAAGTGCATCGAACTATGGAAATAGGATGAAATTCCAGCTTTTTTGTTTTCCTACTTGCTGTGAAGTTTCCAGAAACAGTGGTGGAACATGTATATGGCCAGCGCCGAGGCAAGGTCTTTAAACTCGAGTCTGCTTCATTCTATTGCTGCAGAAACGCATGTGATCAGTTGAAAGGAGCATCCGTCAGTCTCAAAAATAGGTATTGTTCGGTATAACCTCGAAGAAGCTAGGTAGACTTGGACATTGGACCGCCTGAGGAGCACTAAAGCTTGTATCAAAAACAGAGTAAGGCTTATACAAGCACCGGGCACCGCATACTAGCAATAAGTGTCTGAAATCCTGACGTGGTGCTTGTGGTGTAGACGACAAGGGCAAAGACGGAGATGGAACCGGTCAGGAGGAAGGGGCCCAAGGGCTCTAGCTCATAAAGACTGAATGCCACAAAACCCGCAAGGACACAGCCAAGAGAATCCGCATTTCTGCAAAGCACTTGCCTGGGTGGACTTGCGCTTGGTTCTCTGTTTTTGGGAAGTGCCGTGCGCAAAACCAGCTAGGAAGGAAGCAGATTCTTGTAGACTCATTCAGAACAAAGGGGTAGAACAAAACGTCACATGAGTGGCAAAATCATCAAAATCATGCAAAATCCATCTAGCACGATCCTCAAAGTGCACAATTTGTATCAGGCAACCTGTTCTTGAGATAGCCAAAGTAACAAACCTTATTTGCCTTCATGGAGATGTCCAAGCCTGCTACTTTGCTAGCAAGACACGGAAGGCGTCAACCAACCTGCCTCCTTCTTTCAGAGAGCCCTGATTCCTTCTCAATAAGCTGATGCTGAACAACGAAACAAGTTGAATCTCCTTATACCTTAATCAACGCGAAACAAAACCATAGACAACACAACACGCAGCTGGTATCAAACAAATTATCTGAACTCTGTGTGTGGAAAACAACCTGAGATGTAAAGGTTGGCCGGGTGGCCACCATTTGCCTGGGCCCCATCGAAAATAGATTTTCTGCTACCTGGATGGAATGGAATTTTGGTAATTACGCATGGTTTCTCATGAAGTTTCAAAACGGACCCTTCAGCAGCAGCACAAATTCAGGGGTTGACCTGCCTGTGGCATTCAATCTAGCCATGCTCCAAACCCGAACCCGACTGCAACATCGATCACCACCCATGGACCGTGACCTACATCCCTTTCTCCAGTCACTTGTGGACACTTCCAATATATTCAATGAAGCAGCATGGCCAGGAAGACTTGCGAATCGCCAAGGGAGTAAAAGAGGTTCATGTCCTTACTAGTTTGGACTTGTGTCTATCGGATCTATCGGTGAAGGAAATGCAAATGCCACACAATGATGATGAATTGAAAAAACGCTTGAAACCAACAACTTAGCTCATGTCCGTCGATGCCTTCACTGCGAAAACGTAGATCGTGCCCATAATAATCTGGCGACCGAGTCCATTGTGGCTGTATGTGCGACAAGAAAAGCAACTTCGAACACTGAGACACGGGAAATCACACCAGACATTGCTTTTGCGATGCATGAGAAAATGTACATATGCGGTCGCAACACATATCATATAGGCGATAGCTCTGTGATAACGAGAACTGTGAGAAGAGATCAATGAGAACAGAACGGAAAAGACTGAAATCGAAATTGCATGGAATTGCCGTGTCATATGCCCCAAATGGCCCCAAGCAGCTTCAGTTCCAAGATCCACCATCCTGGAGCACCTATAGTCTACAAACCATTTCCCCAAAGGCAGACGCAAATGAAACTCCGAACCCAAAAAAACACCTTAACCGCACTGTCGAACGATTTCTCCTCCAGCCAAAGATCGAAAGTGCCACCAGCTGTGGCTTCAGTGAACTTGGCACTTGGAAAGTGAGAACGCTTGCTCACTCCCCCTGGCTGAGTCTCAGCCACTCTCCAAGAAAGGGTTCGACGCCTATCCATCGAACATCTCAAATCTGCCGTCAGCTGCATCTCATCTGAGGAACACCTTCCACGGCGCCGAGATCCTCCATCTTGCGAGCTGGAGTCAACCTCGCACCAGACAACCACGGTCCAAGAGACTTCTACCTTCCAGCTGCCACCAGATCGCTCCGCCTCAGCCAGACCATCAGGGGCAGAGCAGGGATACCCTGCACAAATTCCTCGGTGGCCGGCTTGTCACTAATCCATCGCAACCAAGCGCCATAAAACGGAGGTGTTTCACCGAAGTGCGCCGCCTGCAAAAACAGCTGAAGTCGCCAAGCCACTTGACTTACCACGCAGACGTCCTTCTTCCTCATCAGTGAATACCTCATTCAACTGCTGGCTCCATAACTTCTTCAGCTCTGATAGATGATCTACAACTTGATACCTGGCCTCCCTCCAGCTCTCAAAAGATCCAGGACTAGAGTCGTCCTTCTGGCTAAGTGATGCTAAGGCACGACTCGTCGAAAAGATGCACGGCGTCAGTCGGCACCTTCGCGGTCATCCCCCCATCAATATCTCGAAGCTCCACCTGCAGCATTCGCCTCTGGGTTGGGCACCACAACTTCTCGAACATGCTAAAAACTCCCGCAGTCGTCATGGTCTTGAAAGGTTGGGTCTCTGTCCTGCACGGG